CGGGTTTCTCTTCATTTACACTTGGCTAATTCATTCCTCGCGAGATACTGAGCGAAGATTAAAGATGGCTGACAGGATACCAGGAGACAGCAAAACCTGGTCCTGTCACTAAGCCAGCTGCAAACTCAGACGGAGTAAAGATGAAAGCTAAATTTTCCAATGATTTTTTTCATATTTCACGCTAACGAGAAAGCTTTAAGAAAAAAAATAGGTGAGCTGATGGCTCAGTAACCTGTCATTGTCTTCCAATAATCAGGAACAATAACAAAAAGTCACCCTAATGTAACAAACTCTTGTCCTTTCACCAGTGGGTGACCACAGTGGCAACAAGTTGGAGCAGGGAAGAAGTCTCAACATGTCACCACAAAGATCACAACCCCCAGTACCCACATAAAAAATAGCCTGGCTGGGTAGTAATAGCACACGCCTTTAATTCTAATACTAGGGAGGCAGAGACAGGTGGATCTATGTGAGTTTGAGGGCAGCCTGGTCTACAGAGCTAGTTCCAGGACAGTCAGGGCTACACACATACACACACACACACACACACACACACACACACAAACCACTGTCTTGGAAAAAAAAAAGCCAAAACCAAAACCCCACCACTACCAACAACAAAAAAGTACATGCACAAAACAAAAACAAAAGCCTGAGGTCAGGGCTGGAGGTGTATCTCAGTGGTCAGTAGCACTGGCTGCTCTTCCAGAAGACCTGGCTTTAGTTGCTAGCATCCAGGAGGCAGCTCACAGCCATCTGTAACCACAGTTTCTGGAGATCCGCTGTCCCTCTTCTGGCCGCTGTGGAAACAGCATGCAAGTGATACACAGACATACAAGCAGGCAAAACATTCTAAAACAACAAACACACCCTGGCATGGTAGTGAATGCTTGTACTCTTGTACTCCTAGTGTGGGGCACCTGTGGCCTCCAGAACACACACACACACCCCAATCTCAGGGTCTCATCACATATGCTAGGCAATCATTGCATCAATGCACTACACCCCAGCTCTGTAGGTTGATGATTATATTCACAGATATAGAATGTCCCAGGCTAGAGGTAAAACCTGTATAGCAGTGCTGTCCTTCATCTTGTACAATGCGACTTGCTCAGAGTATTGGGGTTTTGCACTGAGCAGTTGTTCTATGTCATAGAGTTACAGAAATGATTTTTATAAGCCAACTACTGGAAGATTTTTGAAATTTGTAATTAATTCAGTTTCCTTTCTCTTTGTCACACTGGGGATAAACCTAGGGTTTCACACATGCTATCCAAGCAACCTATCATTGTGCTAAAGTTTTAGCTTTAACTTAATCATTTTAAAACTCATTTAAGCTGGGCAGTGGTGGCGCACGCCTTTAATCCCAGCACTTGGGAGGCAGAGGCAGGCGAATCTCTGTGAGTTTAAGGCCAGCCTGGTCTACAGACAGATCCAGGACATCCATGGCTACACAAAGAAAACCTGTCTTGAAAATCTCCCCCAAAGAAAAGAAAAGAGAAGAAAGGAAAAGAAAAGAAAAGAATCAAACCTGCCTTTTAAGGAGGCAGAGAAAGGAGAATCTCTGAGTTTGAGGCCAGTTTGTCTACATAGTGAGCTCCAGGTCAGCCAGGGCTACACAGTTAGACCCTGTTTCACACAAAGCAAAACTAAATAAAACAAAACCAAAAATAAGTAAATAAAATTTAAAACTGGCATTTATACTTTGTTTTGTCTTCAGGGCTTCATGTGTGCTATGCAAGCTCTGAGCTATGTCTTCATCCCTTTCTGTGTTCTAAGATTATTGACATAAACTTCACTCTAAGTTGCCCAGGCAGGCCTTGAACTTTCCATCCTCCCATCTCAGCCCACTAGCTGGGATTCCGGACCTGAACTAGCTGGCCTGGCTTTATTACACTCCCAATATGAAAATACAAGGGCTAATGTTCAACTACATGAATCTAACAGTTATAAACTATGAGTTTTGCATTAATTTTTATAACTTCTGGACATTTTGCAGCTTCTCACAGCTCACCTAGACGGCGACTGCTTTCTGCCACAAAGAGGTTTCTAGAAGAAAAGTGTCTCACTCTTTAGCAGAGCAGGATGTGGCTTAAGAGTGGGCTGTTCCTGTAGAATGAGCATTTGAAGCCAAGAGATTTTCACTAAAGTCCCAAGACTGTATAAAATCTGTTGAGATCGGTGAAGTCTACGAGAGTGGCAGCCACCAATCACTCATGGCCACCCAAACTGACTCCGTCTAGAAGCGTCATTCTGCCAAGTGAGGCTTTAGTACCCCATCATTATCTCATTACACATGAGCAAGGTCCCAAAGCCACCATGTAAGGAAAGCCCTTAATCAGGGCCGCAGCCTGGCCGCCAGGCGCACTATACACAGCCAAGCTCTGGCCACTGGACCCACAGACGGGTGCCTCAGCCCCGATCCCCTCCGTTCCTCTGGGCTGGCTTTCTGTTTTTCTTCCTTTTCTTTTTTTCCTTGAAAACTGCTAAGAAATAATAATGATAAAATTTGGGGGCTGGAGAGATGGCTCAGCCCTTAACAGCACTGACTGCTCTTCCAGAGGTCCTGAGTTTGATTCCCAAAAACCACATGGTGGCTCACAGCCATCTATAGTGGGGTCTGATGACCTCTTCTGGCATACACACAGACAGCGCACTCAAATACATAAAATGATTAAATAAATAATAAAAAAGAAAATTGCTAGCCAGGCAGTGGTGGCGCACACCTTTAATCCCAGCACTTGGGAGGCAGAGGCAGGCAGATCTCTGTGAGTTCGAGACCAGCCTGGTCTACAAGAGCTAGTTCCAGGACAGGCTCCAAAACCACAAAGAAACCCTGCCTCGAAAAACCAAAAAAAAAAAAAAAAATTGCTAAAAAGAAAAATTAACTGAGAGTGGACATGTTGGCCTTAAAACACAGATTTTGCACCCAGTTTTCTTAGTGGGTGTCATATATGCTAACCCATTCTCTCCACTAAACTATAAGCTATCTGAAGGCAAACACTTCCACTCAGCATGCCCTAAAAACAAAACAGAAAAAAAAACCCTGAAACTATCTTTTTTCATTGCCACATACTTCATATATAATATGGCTGTCCAATTTGTTATTGACCTACATAAACGCAAAAGTTTACCAAGTAAAACAAACCCAAACGTTTCATATCTCTTGCCATTAACAATATTTCCCCATTTCCCAAGCGCTCTCTTTTTTCTCTTTACCTATGGTACTGGGTCCAACGCCCAGAACCTCATGCATGCCAGGCAAATATTTTACCAGAATCACATACTCGGTAGCTTTTTGCTTTGCTTTTTCAGACAAGGTCACGCCATGCAGACCCAGCTGATCTGGGGATTCACTGTGTATTCCAGGCTGGATGTAAACTCAAAACAATCCTCCTGCCTCAGCCTCTCCAGTGTAGGGACTACAGTGCGAGCCGCCAGGGCTGCTTCTGTCTTTGACTTCCTGTCTTCCACTCAGAAAAGATAGGCAGGCAGAGTAGCCATGCTGCGGTTCTGGCCCCAGCCACCTGCCCGTTAGATCACCAGCACGGCTAGCGAATGTCTACCCCCCCCAAACCACTCAGAATCATGTATGTTCTTCATTCCTAACCCCATCCTGCTCTATGAATAAGTGACTTCTGAGGTGCCCCCACCCCATAACAACAACGACGACAACAAAAACCACCAAACAAAACTGAAGGAAGCAAAAATAAGAAAAGAACACCCAAACAGCCTACAGTTTTGCCTAACCTAGGCTAGTACAAGTGCTTCAAACTATGTGCTAATTTAATTCTTTCAAAATGGGCATTTGCACGGGTCAGTCACCTGACAGTGACAGCAGGATGAATGGGGATCCCTTTGACAGAAGATGTTTATGAAATGAGTTCTCCTGACCTAAGCGCCAGTGCTCCCAGGATTCTAGTATTAAATTAACAGAATACTTTAGTTAAGAAATGGTTATGTAAAAATAATTGAAGCAAAAGAAGAAAATTAAGGAAGATGTGCTGCATTCCTAACTGCCGTAACCTTGTTTTATTTTGACGTGACATCTCTTGGCCTCATCTTGGACCGCAACACCACCCCACGCTTTCTCCTCCACACCCTTCACAATTGGAATTCAGAAAGGTAGAGCGGGCACTTTGGAATCCATCACTGAGAATGACTGGTCTTGGGCATATTACGGCGCAATAACCGCGGTTTCGTCCCCACCTACATCCAGACCACTGCACTGCCAGCCTATGCCCTGCCTTTCCCCGGTGCTCCAGTCCTGAGGAAGGCAGGGCAACAGGCCTTGTCCCTCGGCCAACAGCCTCTTTTTCCCGGAGACGGCCTGAGGGTTGCCCTGGCGTCCTCTGACCGCCCTCGGGTGGGACCGTTTCCAGACACCAAGCTGCTCGCTAACCCACTGATACCCCAAAACGAAGGGTCCTACGAAGCCAACCCCTCTTGAAACCGTTTCCTCTGGGCAGCAGGACAGAAACAGGTCCCCAGCAACCGGCCCTTCTTGGTAACCTTATGATGCCCCACCGCCGTCCTCCTGCGGACTAAACGCCGCAGCCCCCCTCAAAATGGGGATTTGAGCTGTCCCCAAAGAATTACAAGTGCGCCCCAACAGCCCTGTAGCTAAAGTCCTCACTTCCTGAGAGAAGACCTCATCCCTCGCTCGCAGCACTCCAAAATTCAAGACCCGAAACCCCGAGCCTGCCAGGCCGCCCCGCCCCCGGTAGCAGCGCGGGATCCGCCCGCACCCGGGAGCGTAGATCTGCCCCAGAGCTCCGTCCAGGGGCGCGCGCAATTACGCAGTCCGCCACGGCGCGGGCCCCACGCCCCCAGGGATCGCCCGCGGGTGGCCGCTCCGGGCGCCGGGACCCAGCCCTGCACCGGCTCCAGGCCGCCAGGGCCACCCGATCCGCGTTCCTTCCTCGCTGGGCAACAACGCACGCAGAGGCCCCTCGCCGCGCCTCCCGCCCAGGCCGCCCGCGGCCCGGCCCCTCACTCACCCAGAGCTCGGTGCCCCAGCTCATGATGCAGGGACCGGGAAAGGGCCCCCGACCCCCTTCGCCGGCGATCGCTGAGCCCCTCCGGACACTGCGAATGCGGGAAGCCCGCCGCCTGCCGTTTCCTCTGGCCCGCGCCTCCTCTAGCCCTGCTCTACACCTCTCGTCTCTCCGCGCGGAGCAAAATGGCCCGAGGAAGCAGCAGCAGCGACCGCCGCAGCGCGACCGCCCCGCACCGGAGCCGAGGGGCGGGGTGGGGCGGGACGAAAGGCGGGGCGGGGAGGGGCCGGACTGACAGCTCGAGCGGACCGTCCCGCCCCCAGACTCCCTTTGGCCGGGTTGCCCAGGGGTCCGGAAGGACGCGAGGCCTTCGGGACCTCTCTGTGTTGTCGGTTTTCGGCAGCTAGTGCACCCTACGCTCTCGGGACCCGCGCTCACTGCTTGCAGACTGGCCCATTCGCGATCACGACGCTGCATCGCGATTGCCCTCCACCCACCGCTCCGAGCACAGCTTTGCGTTTCAGAACTTTCGCCCCGCGGCCACCGGCGCCCACCTTAGAGGCTTCCAGAGCGGTTTCTCCCTCCATCCAGCCACCGTGGAGGCTAACGAGCCGGTCAGCGTGCTTGGGAGTGGGGCCTTGAACCATGACGTCGTGCATTGTGTACACTGGGACGTTGAGGCAAATATAGAGACCGAGCAGATCCGGGAAACCAGGGAAGGAACTCGAGGATGAGCAGCCAAAGAATTATAATCTGTAGAACAAGCCCTTTCCTACTTGTTCAGCCAGGAATTTCAGTAACGAAATCCTCTTACCCCGCTAGGGCCCACTGAGAACTTGGAGGGTTCAAATCCAGCCTCCAAGCTGGTGATCTTGGACGGATTTCCCCTCTAGTAGGAGAGCCCCAGCCACCAAAGGGAGGCAGTGTTTGCCAGTCGCCCGCGGCCTAGTGGTGTGAACCAAGGTGAACTGGCCAGAGGGTAGTTGGTGCAGAATTAGGACCATTAACTCTTCCAAAACTCCACAGAATGTCATTTCTCAGTAGCTGTGGGGAATCTGGGGGTTTTCAACTATTTCCTCAGAATCCCTCAGACTGTCTCCACAACTTTTCTTTCTTTGAATGGTACTGCAGAGACCTTTTCTCCAGGGCCATGACCTCCAGAATAGGTCCCTCTTCTAAACGTTTTCTCCGCTCCCTGCTCTCTTCAACCTGTTGAATGATTCTCCTTGAAGGGTGAATCTCAGCCCAGTGTGTGGACTGCAAGCCCACACTTGTAGTCTCAGCACTTTTGAGGCAGAGGCAGGAAGAGTCCAACCTGAGCCGCTTAGTAAGTACCAAGCAGGCTGACCTGGACTTCAAAGTGAAACCTTGACAAAATACATAAATAAATAAACAATAGACAGCTAGATAACAATAAGGGTGTGCTGGGAGGCATAGGCAGGTGGATTTAAAGGTCTGGGTTGCACAGTGAGTTCCAGGCCATAGTGAGACTCTGTTTAAAAAAAAAAAATCAAACACCAAATAATAATACTTTGCTTAAAAAGTAAAAGGAAGGAAAGAAAAAGGAAGGAGGGGTGGAGCTCAGAACATTGCCTCAAACCTCAAGACCTCCTACTTCCTTTGTGGGGTAGTTACATTGAAACCATCAAAACTGTTTGGGGCTCTCTTGTCAGTTACAAGCCCCTCCTCCATCCTTCGTGTCTTTAAATATTTTGTCCCCACATTTTCCAAGTCTGGGCTGGATATGTAAGGGTCAGGATGGCCAGCTAGAGTGAGTTAGAGGACTTAAAAATGTAAGCAATGTTAATTAACTAGGCCACAGGGTTGTTTTGTTGTGTTTCAGGTTTTTTTTTTTTTTTTTTCCCCCGAGACAGGGTTTCTCTGTGGCTTTGGAGCCTGTCCTGGAACTAGCTCTGTAGACCAGGCTGGCCTCGAACTCACAGGGATCCGCCTGCCTCTGCCTCCCAAGTGCTGGGATTAAAGGCATGCACCACCACCGCGCGGCCTGTGTTTCAGTTTTTAATGTGTACCGCTGTTTTGTCTGCATGTATATCAATGTACCACATCCGAGTCTGCTGCCCTTGGAGGCCAGAGAGGGTGCTAGATCCCCTGGAACTGAACTACAGATGGGTTGTGAGCCATCGTGTGGGTGCTAAGAATCAAGCCAGTGCTCTGAGCCACACTAGTCTTCCCAGGCCCAGGGCTGACACAGGTATTAGCTACTCAAAGTCGGAAATGGCCAGTTACTTAGCAAGACCCTGCTGCGTCATCATTATCGTCACCTGTGCCTCTGCTTGTTGGTTGTTTCCTTCTTAGTCCACAAAATGATCTAATCTTGACTTCAGAAAACTAGAATGACCACTTGCAAAAAAACAGTGTAGCCGGGGGTAGAACAACCTGTGCCCTACAGAGAAAGAAGCAGAAGGAACTGTAGAAAAGAGAGATGCCTAAACTGTTAGGGAACCCTTGAAAGCCACAGGAGGTTCAGGAGCCAAGTTAACTGGGCCCACTTAGCGCCTCTCACTGGTTTTGTTTTGTTTTGTTTAAGTCTGCAGGGCAACTGGAAAATGTTTACAGTCAAAAGCTTCAGAAAATGGAAGAGAAATGCGGTATTGACCTATTAGCAGGGGTGTTCTCGCCCTATGCAAATGCTCACCCAGCTGCACACCTGCTCCAGCCTGACTCACAAAGCTGTGGTCTGTGCCTTCCAATGATCTGATGGCATGAAAGGGCGAACCTAAAGGGAGGCATCTGACGAACACAGCACAGACCCAGCCTGCATAAGCTCTTGGGCTAATTGGTCTGCTGTTCTTTCTTTCTTTCTTTCTTTCTTTCTTTCTTTTTCTTTTCTTTTTTTAAATATTTATTTATTTTTTTTTGGGACAGGGTTTCTCTGTAGGTTTGGAGCCTGTCCTGGAACTAGCTCTGTAGACCAGGCTGGCCTTGAACTCAGAAATCCACCTGTCTCTGCCTCCTGAGTGCTGGGATTTAAGGCACGTGCCACCGTGCCACCCCTGTCCAGTGGTTTGCTTTCTTTATAAAATTTTTTATATTTCTATATGTACTTAGTATGTGGGGGGGGGGTGGAGTACACATACAGCACACACGTAGTGGCCAGAGAACAACTTGTGGGAGTTGTTTTCTCCTTCACCATGTGGTTCCTAGGAACTGACTTTAGGTCATCAGTCTCCATAACAAGTGCCTTTACAGGCTGAGCCATCTTCTGAGCCCTTATTTTCTTGCTTTTTTTTTTTCTTTTGGTTTTTCAAGACAGGGTTTCTCTGTGGCTTTGGAGCCTGTCCTGGCACTAGCTCTGTAGACCAGGCTGGTCTCGAACTCACAGAGATCCGCCTGCCTCTGCCTCCCGAGTGCTGAGATTAAAGGCATGCGCCACCACCGCCCGGCTGAGCCCTTATTTTCTGAGACAAGGTTTTATTCCATAGCCCAGGCTGGCTCACAACTTTGGTGGGTGGTCCTCTTGCTTCCGTAGGTACTTCTGAGTAGTCAGAGGCAAATCTATCAGGGATTTGGACAGTGCTCACCCTGCATGGAATTATAATGAACATCTCATTTGGGGTTTGTAGGTAGGTACCTGTTCAGTGGCAGATAGGGTTTTATAATTAATTGTTGGGGATCCCAGAGTTCAGTCCTTACTAGGCATGTGGCCTCTGGCAACCTACACACTCTGAGCTTCAGTTTCCTCATTCACAAAAAGGGGGCTTCACAGACTCCCAGGAGGCTGAAATGCTGGGCAAACACACACTTTACTGAGGTTCAGACATGCAGAGCTTAGGGCGGGCAGCTCACAGCTTCCCTTCTCCAAACCTCAGTTTCCTCTCTTACAATGAAACAATGACCTCATGGCTCTTCAATACTAAAAGAAAATATCTGCAAAGGGTTGAGTAAAGAGGGCACAAGTACAAGCTTCCTTTCCTTTTCCTGCGTGCCACAGCAAGGAAGCAATACCTTACAAACCGCTGCTAGAGCCAGACCCTTGGCTAGAATGGCAGGGCAAGGCGACTGGCTGTCTACCACTAGTTTCTCAATGACGCCCCTGTCAATGGTTTCTATCTGAGTGAAACTTAAAATTTTCCATAGCTTTACTTACAATGGAGTTAAATCTCAATAAACTCCTTTTCTATTTTGTGCTGTCCTGGAACTCACTCTGTAGACCAGGATGGTCTTGAACTCACCGAGATCTGCCTGCCTCTGCCTCTTGAGTGCTGGGAGGGGTGTGCCATCAAACCTGGCTTACTGTTTTTTTTTTTTTTTTTTAAGACAGGGTCCCGCGCGTAGTCTAGGCAGACTTCAAACTCACTATGCAGCCAAGGCTGGCTTTGAAATGACCTGAGTACAAAACAAAGCATTTAATATTCCAGGAAACCCACAACTGTTGGTTGAGTCATGGTAAATTGAGAACTGGCTGTACATTCCTGGGACCCCAGAAGCAGCCAAGCGGAAAAACTAGGAACAGGATAAAAGCAGGAACTTTCTAGTGAGTGTAATCTTAAAACTGCAACTAGATTTTAATACCAACGACGGAGTTCTCTGAAGGACTGTAAAGACTGTAATAGCATGAGACATGGGCTGCTCAGAGCTGGGCAGATTATATCCAGTGTCCCTAGGTTGAAAAATGATTCTCAAGTTCATTTCCATTGCGCCTTCGACCTGCGGAAGGTGTGTCAGGGCCACTGGACTGATGCTTTCTCGGTTGCCAAAAAGATGTTCTCAAAGTTTTCTTCTAGCAGGGCAGTGGTGGTGGCGCCCGCCTTTAATCCCAGCACTCAGGAGGCAGAGGCAGGCGGATCTCTGTGAGTTCGAGACCAGTCTGGTCTACAAGAGCTAGTTCCAGGACAGGCTCCAAAGCTACAGAGAAACCCTGTCTCGAAAAACCAAAAAAAAAAAAAAAAAAAAGTTTTCTTCTGTGCCTCAGGAGATGCTGAAATTCTCCACCACAATCTGGAAGACATGGCCAATGAATGTTGCCAAGTTCTGAGAAGCCTCTGGTTCCTTACGGTGTTAGCTTTGGGGTCTGAAAGAACTCTTCTGAAAAGACAGAACTGTTAGACAGCTCAGAAGGTAAACGAGCTGCCAAAAACCTGCCGACTTGAGTTCTATCCTGGTTACTCATGGTGGGAAGAGAAGACTTTTGAATATCATCCCCTGACCTCCACATATTCTCTATGGCATGTGCCCCTCCCCGATGCACACATCCAAGTAAACGTAATAAAAACTT